CCCACTAAGTGGCAGCATAGAACTGGGTGTATTTTCGTGTAGTCATCATCTGGATTTAAATGTATTCCAGATTTAAATGTATTCCTACCCTCAAGACCCTTGAGTTGCAAAAGACATTTCCATATAGCAAGAAAAATTTAAGCAATCTTCACTGAAAATTTTAAGGCGCTGATAAAGTTATAAATGTTCAGAAAAAAGGGGGTTGAAGGAAAACATTAAAATTCCATGACCATGAAAATCTCCTGCGAAATAAGTTTACTCTAGCACAGATAACAAATCTAAGAATAGCTCCTGCTAGGTTTTTGTACGTTAATCTTTGGTAGAAGGTAGGTTCTTCCAGATAGAAATAACCCTCGCTTAATGTCCAATCATTTAATGATCATTCAAAGTTATAATGGACTCAAAAAAGTTTATTTATGACATGTCCTTGAAATTATGACTGCCCCCCACCCTACAATCACATGATCACACTTTGGATGCTTCCCAACTGGCCCGAATTTACAACTGGTTGCAGCATCCTATGGTCACATGACCATGGTTTGCAACATTTATTTTGCTGGGTTTCTGGCAGTTTCAGGCAAAAATTTACTTTAATGACTATGCGGTTCACCTAACAATTATTTGCTTAATGACCATGATGACTCATTTTATGACAGCTATAAAAACTGTTGTAAAATTGAGTCAGGTCACATGGTGACCCACTTAATGACCACAATGACTTACAACCAAAATTCCAGGCTCAGTTGTGCTTGTTAAGCGAGGACTACCTAGAGGCAAACCCAAAATAATGCAATGGTGAGCCAGGGCTGCCCCCAAATGGCAGTAGATAAGTCAGCCGTAGTGTAGAAGCTGAAGTTCCCAAGACTTAAATCTGCGGCATCTTGAATACCACCAACCTCAGCATCACCTGAAAAAGCTGCCAGGGAGACAGGACACCTGCCTCTCCAAATCCAGCCTCTGTTCTCCATACTTGATGCACAAAACTGGCCCTTGTGGATTGGAAAATCTATGCAGGGAAATCAACACCTCTAAGCGAAGTTAGAATCGGGATAGTTATATCATCATTGGGGCCAGCCCTTGGAAACTTCACCTACCCTAAACTTACATCAGAGACAGAAGTCCTTCTCTGGATAGAAACGGTTTCCTTCTCAACCTCTTTGGAGACAGACGCATCGTATGTTTTGGATCTAAAAGCAGAGGTAGAAACCAAATGGATCAACTGATATTTATTTACTTATCAAATCCGTAATTGTTCAGAACAATCTTAAAAGTGGAAGATACCAAGCAAGTTTCAACAAACCTGCTTTGTTCACGCAATATCTTTTGATCGGTCCAGCAGTTACATGCACATAGCACATTAAGCTTGGTTGATTTTAACAAAATAACAGAGTTGGAAGGGACCCTGGAGGTCTTCTAGTCCAACCCGCTGCTCAAGCAGGAGAACCTGTATGCTTCAGGACAAATCTATTCTTAAAAACCTCCAGTGATGGAATCCCCAAAAGTGCTTTTCCAAAAGGCAACTGGACTTTGTTTTTCCTTGAAGATGTTTCATTTCTTATCTTAGAAGCTTCTTCACTTCTGAAGTTTCTTGGATGAAAAGCGAAATGTCTTAAAGAAAAAACAAAGTCCAGCTGCCACTTGAAAAAGCACATTTGGGGCAACCATAACATGGATGACTGAAAATCTCAAGCCACTGAAAAGTTGCTCTCACGATCAGGAAAATTCTCCCTATTTCTAGGTCAGTTATGGCTTATCTAGACTGTAAACTCAGGCCTTTCAATAGTACAGTATATTTTCTGTGTCTCATATAAATCCAGCAAAGATTAATCTAATAACTGGCTTAAATGGATTTCTCCAAGTTGGACTAGAGAGATCATCCACACTACTCATCCTACTTTTCCTCCCCACAGAGCAGTAAACCATGGCCGGACTACAATGCCCATTTTCCCCAGCCAGAATGGAGTAGCTGGCATTAATGGGTTTTCCAATCTGATTCAATTGGGCAGGGGTCTTCTCTGCAAGGGCTACCCAAACTCACCGAGTCAAAAGTGCATTGTGTTTATTTCGGAGATCCTCGGCGACAAACTCTTCCAGGCTGTAGGATTTTTTCTGCTCTGACATCTTCCTTTTGCTCTTTCGGTTTTTTCCGGACATGTCAGGGATGCAGCTGGAAGAACAAGATTCAGTCAGCTGTTGTCATTCGCTCCTCCCTCACCTCCAGCCACAGGTGGGGACCAACCTTCCTCATCCGGAGTCATTCCGGTGAGTAACTGCCTGTCACCATCATCCCCAAAGAGAGCAGCTTCCACTGCGCCCATTACACAGATGATTCCCCCTAAGGCTCAGGTGCTATTGTGAACAAGAGCCTTCAAGAATGAGGGAAGGGCCGCAGAAATATGTTAAAACACATTAAATAACGAGAGAGCAGAATTCCTAACCAAGTCTTAAAAGGCCATCACCTGGATAACGATAAAAAAAAATAAGACACCCCGAATTGAACGGTGCTGCTGAAATAGCGAAGATAAAAGTTTTACGGCGGTGAAAAAGAGAAGCTCCTTCTTTCTGCCCTCATTCGGTTTGGTTTTGCTTGGCTTTGGATCCTCTGCATCAAGCAGTTTCTCATCGGCCTGTCATTAATCCAAAGCAATTATCGTACCATCTATTAACTGTGGATTCATAAGTTGCCCTGCCCCAATACAAAAACCTGAGATCTTGGCTGCCAAGCAGATGACAAGAATGGAAAACTACTGCAACTTGGGTGCAACTTGGCATGGCCTTTAACTCTCAATAAAGCATAAAACAGCAATTAGTCTAGGGAACCTCCATGCTCAGGAATAGTCTACCTCCGACTACCAGTTGTTTTGGATTAAGAAGGAATGATCATTCCCTTTGGTTTAGATGAATTTTTCATCTGGCCTATTGAACACTGCCAGATATGACTGGACATGGGAAACCTTTACCTTTATTAAATCACATATTCTTAGGAATGCCAAATCTGCTGATTTAGTCAAAGTCAACAGACCCCATGAAGCAAAAATGTTGTTGTTGTTTATCTATGTTAGCTAAATAACCATAATAGCCAACTGGAATATCTATGTATGGAGCAGTCTGCCTTGTAAAAAGCAAGCAACAAAGAAGGACTATAAGGGGAAATTTTGTTCTGCAGGTATAATGTTCACTATAGGTAGTCCTTGGCTTACCACCACAATTGTTTAAGTGAATCACACCGTCATTAAAGACATCTGACTTCCTCCATTGACTTTGCTTGTCGGAAGTCAGCTGGGAAAATCATAAATGACAATCAGATGACCCCAGGTTGCTGCAACTATTGTAAATCAAGTGAGGTACTAATACCACTCTATAAATCGTTAGTAAGACCACACCTAGAATACTGCATCCAGTTTTGGTCACCACATTATAAAAAAGATGTTGAGACTCTAGAAAAAGTACAGAGAAGAACAACCAGGATGATTAGGAAACTGGAGACTAAAACATATGAAGAACGGTTACAGGAACTGGGCATGGCTAGTCTAGTGAAGAGAAGGACCAGGGGAGACATGATAGCAATCTTCCAATATTTGAGGGGCTGCCACAGGGAGGAGGGGGTCAAGCTATTTTCTAAAGCCTCAAAGGCCAGATAAGGAATAATGGATGGAAACTGAACAAGGAGAGATTTAACCTGGAAATAAGGAGAAACTTTCTGACAGTGAGAATAATCAACCAATGGAACAGCTTGCCCTCGGATGTTGTGGGAGCTTCATCACTTGAGACTTTCAAGAAGAGATTGGACTGCCATTTGTCAGAAATTGTGTAGGGTCTCCCGCTTGGGCGGGGGGTTGGACTAGATGGCCTACAAGGTCCCTTCCAACTCTGATTATCTGTTATCTGTTAAATACATTTTAAAGCTCTACAGAGAATAATTAAAACTGCCCAGAATATCATCAGGCTCCAGCTACCAGCCCTGGATGACATCTTTGCATCTCGCTGTTTGGGGAAGTTGCACAACATTCTCAGAAACTCTTCCCATCCTGCTTACAATCTTTGTGAACTGTTGCCTTCTGGCAGAAGATACAGGACAATTAAAACTCGGACCACATGTTTTCTGAACAGTTTTTACCCCAGAGCTATAATTGCACTTAACAATGAACTTAAGGACCACCATCAGTGAGCTGTTGGACAGTATTACTTGGTCTGTTGTGTGGATGCTTGTGTGTTTTTAGGGGGCAGGGAATTTTGGCGGATGGGGGTATGTTTGAGGATTGTTGTGTGTGCGTGCGTGTTGGGTCTGGTCTCTGGGTGTTATGTGAATTTTGTTGCATGTATACTGTGTATATGCATACAATGACAATAAAGAATTCAAAATACATAGCGGTTGCCAAGAGCACAAATTTTGATGAAGTGACTGGGGATGTTCTGGCAGTCATAAGTGTAAGGGCTGGTTAACAGAATAACAGAACTGGAAGGGAACTTGGAGGTCTTCTAGTCCAACCCACTACTCAGGCAGGAAACCCTATATGTCATTTGTAAGCCCCCTTTTCAGCGCAGTTGTAACTTTCAACAATCGCTAAATGAACGGCTGTAAGTCAAGGACAACCAGTGGTGGAACTTCCCAATTAGATATTCATGGTGCAAATATACAATTTAAGGAAGAGCAATATCAAATATTAAAAAGTTGTAATTAAAAAAAACAAAAAGACCACATCATGATTACAAGCATAAATATATCAACAATGCCACACAAATAAAGGGGATAAAAGAAATCCAGCCTCTGAATAATTTGGAAGATGGAATACTTATTAACTGGAAATTGCCAAGTGTTGGATGAGTGCTTGAGATGCTTTGCAAAACAGGATCTGAAACACAAATCCACCCAGCTGGGTGGCTTCCACATTCCTGAGATCCTCTGGCAAGCCCCAAGGGGTTTGTTCCCGAAGGAAGTTTGGCTGTGGTCTGGATGCACAGCTTCATTTACAGAGCTACCATGTTCCGCCAACTGGCTCGCTTGGCAATTAAGTCTGATCAAAGAAGCACTCTAGTCTCCTCCCAGAGCAGCGTTTCCCAACCTTGGGGACTTTTAAGATGGGTGGACTTCAACTCCCAGAAATCCCCAGCCAGCAATTCTGGGAGCTGAAGTCCAGCCATCTTAAAAGCATTGTTCTAGACTAGGGGTATCAAACTCAATAATGCTTAGATCTGGCCTGTGGGACTGGCCCGGAAATATCAAAGGACTGGCCCGCAGTGCCTCTGACAGCCAAAACAGGGAGTGGCGGGGGCACAGCTCCCCTGCAGCTCGTTTTTGGTTGGCAAAGTGCTGCAGGGGGCTGTGGAGGCTGAAAACGGGGTCCTGGGGGCAATGGTGCGATTTCAACTGGTGTAACAACCGGTTTGGTCAGCGCGCGCCAAACGTGCCCTCTGTGTGCATGCTCCGCATTTTAAAAAGCCCATTTTCAACGCTAACACTGACCTTTTACTACAGCCCCTGTGAGTAAAACAGCAGAGGCACAGCAAACTGCTTTGCCACATGAATCAGCTGTGCTCTAAAACAACGAAATAAAGCACAGCAAAGAGCAGGGGTGGGTGAGTGAGGCCAAATGCTCTCTGCAACTACCGGTTCGCTCGAACCGGTCCGAACCACTATAATCCCACCCCTGGCTGGGGGCCTGCGCGCGGCCTCCCCATGCCCTGTTTTGGCCGGCAGGGTGCTGCAGGAAGCATCCATACTTTCTTCCTCCCTCCCGCCCCCCTTCCCACCAGCCCGTGGAGAACCACCATGCTGATCTGGCCCTCGAAGAAACCCAGTTTGTCACCCCTGTGCTAGACAGTGTTAAATAACTACTCCGACTATTTCCAGCTGCCATAGCTACAGGTTCAGCCAAACGGCTCCCAATGGGAGTTAAGGTCCAGCTTGTCCAGAGCTGCATTTAAATCAGCCTCAACACATCCTGGCAATCCTGGTTTAGCTGTGTTTTTCCATCACAGGGTCAAAATGAGCAGAAAGAGTTGGAACCTTCCATTACTGATAGCAGCCAAAGTGGGTGCTATCAGTAATGGAAGGTTATACAATAAATGAGGCATCTACTTCCTTTCCCCTGAACTCAGGACAATAGATAACCCTGTTCCACAATGCAGGGACATCACATATCTCTCCAAAAATAGATAAGGCATGGAAAACATAGCATCATATACTATAATGAAACATCTGGGTGTATCAGCTATAGTGCTATCTTTTGTAACTGAGCTATGGATTTCAACCACTTGTACATTGAAGGTTATTTTTAAATTGTTTACAATTCTAAAACTCATCTCATTTAGTTTTAAAAAGGCCCTAATTTAAAGAGTTAAAAAAGGACCTGAATTTTTCCAGGGAATAAAGAATGAAAAAGGATGTCATTGCTTTTGCTGCTATCTTTCTGTGGAACAAAAAAAAGGTTACTGCTAAGGACTCTACGATTCTGGTTTTAAATGCTACATTCTGACTATTAAAAAATTGAGAGCAAGCAATTCACACAAAATAAGTAAATCAAAGGAGTCCGTTTCACTGAATGGAATGACTTTGAACCTCTCATTTTTTCTCAGTCATGCTTACCTTACAGGATTATTGTTGTGAGGAAAAAATGAGATGAGAAAGACACACACACACACATAAAACACACAAGCAGCATAGTAGTTGGATCCTCTGATGCACATGAAAGGTTTAAACAAGTCTGCTGCACTTCTCTCCAGTCTCATGCCCTTAAAATATAATGGATTTCAACTACCATAATTCCCAACCTACTTTGGATGGTTACCACGCTGGGGAAGGTTTATTGCAACCAGATTCTTATTTCCAAAGCCCAACAGAAGACAATCTCTTGAGTCTACATCAGGGGTCCACAAACTTGGCAACTTTAAGACTTGTGGACTTCAACTCCCAGAATTCTGCAACTAGCTATGCTGGCTGGAGAATTCTGGGAGTTGAAGTCCACAAGTCTTAAAGTTGCCAAGTTTGATCTTGTTTGATCTTGAAAAACCAATCTGGGCTGGATGGGGCCTATAACTGGATGAAACACCATCAAGTGATCCCATGCTAGAATAAAAACTCAAAAAATATTACAGAAAAATATGACACAAAATATGAGAGGAGCACTTCACTCCTTCATTATTGAACCCGTGCCCCTCCCCCCCTCTCTCTCTCTCACACACACACACAC